ATGCTTTCTATCCTGGCATGTTTAATCATATCCTTGGCTTCAGTTATCACCTATATGCAAGTCTCAATAAATTATAGCTCCAAATCCATATGTATAACTTCAATCTTGATAAACCCACTCGAACATTTCAAAGACACTCAAACTGAGTATGTTTAAAACCTAACTCATAATATTCTCCATAAACCTTGTCTACTACCTTCCTAGATCCCTAGTGTTCACAATCTCAGGAGATGGCACCAACTTCCACTCAAGTGCACAAGGCAGAGAACCAGGAGTCATGTTTTACAACCAATTCTTCCCCCATATTTAATCCAACAATCCTGTACACTTTATTTCTCGAATCTATTCATTTGTCTTAACCTCCACTGCCACCCCTATAGTCCAAGATGTATACCATCTATATATACCATCTCTCACCTGAACTACTGCAATGCACCAGTAGGTCTCCCCACATACACTCTGACCCCTCTCTGATCCATTTCTTGCAATGTAGTCAGCGTACTATTTTTGTTTTCCTTTTTCAAAATGCAAATCTGAGAATCTCACCCTTTGTGTAAAACCCTTCAGTAACTCTCCCTATCTTAATCAAGACTAAAATCCTTAATATGACTAGTAAGGTCATAGATGGACTGGCCTCTGCCTACTTTTCTAACTTTTTCTTATAATATCCCCTTGCTTTATGGTACCTCACCTCACGGACCTTTTATTTCTTCAAGTACCCCATGCTACAATTCCTCTCCTTAGAATGTGCTTCCAACCAATCCTCCACCCTCTCACTCCATTGTCTCCTAAGATCTACTTTCAAGCATCAGTTCCTGAGGGACTATGCAGGATAAGTCAGAAACCAAAACTTTACTTCGGTTTGTAATTACATAGCTGTATCTGACTGCTTGGATTAAAGTCTGCCTCTGTCACTTCACTATAATTCCATGAGAGCAGGACAGGACATCTCCTGCACCCATCACAGTCCTGCACACTTACTAGGAACTGAAATGTTTGCTGAATAAATTATTTAGGATTATCACTTCAAAGGTAAATGCAATAATGCACTATAGCCACTCTCAGCTGCCTTGCTTCTCTTCAAACAAATTTTAAAAACCCACCTTCTATGCTTACCTAATTTATTATACATAACCTTGCAAAACATCAGCATTTACATACTACTTATTATTGCCAAGCACAAGTACATTAGCAAAATTATCACTTAATATTTCTCTTTAAAGAGAATCACATTTTATTCATATGTATTAAAAAAGAAGTTTGTGGGCCGAGCCCGTGGCGCACTCAGGAGAGTGCAGCGCTGGGAGCGCAGCAGTGCTCCCGCCGCGGCTTCGGATCCTATATAAGGATGACCGCGGTGCAGCCGGTCTCAAAAAAAGGACAAAAAAAAAAAAAAAAAGAAGAAAAAGTTTTTTTGCCAGGGTTGAATTGCTTGGAAACCTCCAAAATAAATGCATAAACTATTAAAATTTTTAAAAGTCATATCCATGTTCCAATGAAAGCTATCTAGCCTATACCTGTGGAATGTTTACCATGCACTGAAAAACAAAAAAAAATAGATATTACTAAAACTTTAAATCAACCAAAAATGTGCATTTAGAATGTTTTTTAAGTCTATTAAAACCAAAAATAACTTTTTAAACACTAAAATGAAGTGCTTGGAAAAAAATCCATGTTTCACATTTTCATTGCTAAGGTAAAAACTTCCGATGACTATCCTTATTATTCAGATGAAATATTAGCTGTAAAGGCCTAGACTAATGCAAGTCTTGCTAAGCAGAAAGAAAATTCCCCAATACTACTAAAAATAAGTAGAGATTAGCAATTATTAACATTCTAGGGTGTGCTACTTCTTAAATATTTTTAACTGATAACTAAACTTCTATGTATCACAGACAAGAAAAGTACCTACTGGGAAGACTGGCCAGTTAATTTGTCATGGGTTTGCAAGGTCACATAAACAAGGTCACATAAAAAGTACCTACTGGGAAGACTGGCCAGTTAATTTGTCATGGGTTTGCAAGGTCACATAAACAAGGTCACATAAAAAGTACCTACTGGGAAGACTGGCCAGTTAATTTGTCATGGGTTTGCAAGGTCACATAAACAAGGTCACATAAAAAGTACCTACTGGGAAGACTGGCCAGTTAATTTGTCATGGGTTTGCAAGGTCACATAAACAAGGTCACATAAAAAGTACCTACTGGGAAGACTGGCCAGTTGATTTGTTATGGGTTTGCAAGGTCACATAAGCAAGGTCATATAAATCTGTAGTTTCATGCTTCTACTTGCTATCCTATAGATCTGTACTTTCATGCTTCCATGGAAGTAGAAGCATGAAACTACAGATCTATATAGGAAGTCAGCGGTGGAAGAACTTCTGCATCCTATTTCTTACAAGTCTCTGAAGAAACATTTTAACTCTATTTTCAACCAGTGTTTTAGAACTCAGACCCTAAATTAAAGGTATTCCTTTTCAACAACTCCACTGATTTAACTGCTTTTTCAGGAGTTAGATGTTCTAACAGTTGATATTTGTTTTGTTTTGTTTTGTTTTTAAAAATCTGTCAAATATTCTCAATATACACTAATATTTCATTAATTTAATAACTGACCATAGCAACATTTACTGCATATCAGACACTGTGAAATTTACAATTCTGTGTACTTTCATTACCCCCTTTAACAAATAAATGCAAATGAGGCTGAGAGAAATTAGGTGACTTTTTCGAGATTTCAAAATAAATAATTGGTAGGGCTGGCCCGTGGCTCACTTGAGAGTGTGGTGCTGATAACACCAAGGCCATGGGTTCAGATCCCTATATAGTGATGGCCGGTTAGCTCACTTGGGAGAGAGTGGTGCAGACAACACCGTGCCGAGGATTACGATCCCCTTACCAGTCAGAAAAACAAAAACAAAATAAATAAACTAACTAACTAAATAAATAAATAATTGGTAGAATTAGGATTTGAATTTAGGTTCTTCTACCTAATAAGCACAATCCTCTTCAGGAACCCTAAGTGCAGATTTCTAAAATTCCCCTTTACAAAGATGAAAATATTGTATATAAACAATCCATTTCTAATCATGCCCTTCCCATGCTATTCACTAATTCCAGAAGTTGGATCGATCAATTTTTAATTTCTCTGGCAAATCTCAATTAAAATAAAGATTAGCGTCCCTTTTGCTAAGAAATATGTAACAGTACAGCACTGGTCATTTTGAAACTATTTTACTAATATCGGCGATTTTTTTTCCATGTTTTTCTTCAATATATGGCACAGAAAAATATTTAGCACTAGAACGACAAAAATAATGTCTCATAAAAGATACTTTAAATTCTTGGTACTGCCACTATTTTTTTTTTTTTAACCTCTGGCAAAAATAACAAAAATCTTAAAGCTCATTCGAATGAAAATTTTAGTTTCCTGAACCTGGATAAACTGAAATTAGAGCCTATAATTAACTGCTGGCATACTTTTACATGTAAACCAATAACCTGATCTAAGGTATATAAGAATGTTCTATTTTTATTTTTCCACAGAGCTAAAGGAGATACTTTACTGCTTCAACATAGTATGTGACTTACCTGATAGTCATAATTACTGCTGCCTATTTATTTTGGTGCTTACTGGAAGCTGCACACTAAGAAAGAAAATCTAAAACCTGCAAAAGTGGTCATATGTGTGTGAAAAAAAAACAGAAGCTGTCAGAAATAGCAGTCTAATACTGTTAACTAGAAACATCCCTTTTACTACCTCAGATTGTAATCAAGGAATGACATAAAAGATAAACGTTGATCTTCCAAACATAGGAGTATACTTACTTTATGTGCTAACGAACGATTGACAAAGGATATCAAAACTTCCTAAAGCATCTAGCTTCTAAAATAGTTAAGTTCCACGATCAAAATCTTGATTCTAAACGAGCCAGAAAAATTGCAGGACATAGGAGGAATTAAGAATCGCTTTGGACATAAGCGAAATAGTAGTTTCCCTGAATGCTTATTAGTGGAGTTGACTTGACCAGGTCATTGAAACTCTCTAGACTCAAGTTTATCTGTCTACCAGTGGGACAGCATTTGATATTTTGGAAGTTTCCTGTTGCGCAAATTATGTATTAAATTCTAAGTGTTTATGGAGCGCCTAATAGTTTGTTGCCCAAGTCGAGGGTGTTTACAAATCCAGGTAAATCCAAACCTCAGAGTTCCATTTTCTGTGTAGTTTCTCCACCCTCCACCCCTTTTATAGGACTAACTCCGGGGCGAGAAGGCGCTCTCCCTGAGCTGCAACAAGACCGGTGCTGTCGCTAGACCTCCGGGGTAAGCAAGCACATGGCTGGGAAGGGAAAAGGACGGAAGCCAAATTCTGACTACTGCCCTGGGCATTTGCTATCAGTGCGGAGAAAATGTCACCAATAGGCAGCAAACAGGGAGAAAACGTGAAGCGTAGTAAGGGAGCAGTGCGTCCGCGAGGTGAAACCAGTTTCGGGGCCGCCGCACCCCGGAGCACTGTCCCTAAGCTTTACCTGGGACTCATCCGGATCAGGCCTGATCTCCAAAAGGAGCCTTCCTCAGCTGGAAGGCAGAACCCAGAGCAATTATATCTCTCGGAAAGGGTTGTCCTCTGCCACCTGAAACGACAGCCAATCGGGTATCCCTAAGCCACCATCATAACCACCCCTCAACCACAGAACCTCCCCAACTCCTACCTTGCCGCCCCTGCTCTCGCGATAATTCTGGGCCAGTCACTCGTAAATGCCAGCTCCCTCCCTCCTCCTCCAGCCAATCATGGAGGACTTGTCGGCGAGGTTTTGCTTTTGAGAGGGGAGCGGGGCCTTCAATCTTTGCCCTTTGGCGCGGAGAACCCGAGGGGCTGAGGCGGGCTAGGGCGGATCTGGGGCGGGGCACGCTCCAGTTCTCGCGACATTTGAGACCAGGAAGACCCCTGCCGAGCCGGGCTGCTGGTGCTGCAGCGGCTGAGGCAGCAGGTGCTGCTACGTCCGGACTTTCTGCCTCTGAGCCTACGCCTGGTCTCTAAGTGGGGAGGCGGGACCTAAGTTGTCAGGCCGCAGCAGTGGAGGTGCGCAGTGCTCGCTGAGACTTAGGGGGGATTCAGGCTGCGGCCTGTCAGCCAGTTAGGGAGGCGCCCACAATCCTGACAGGATAAGATGGCGGCAATGGCGCCTGGAGGTAGCGGCAGTGGTGGAGGCGGTGTGAATCCATTCCTCAGCGATTCGGACGAGGACGATGACGAGGTATCGGTGAGAGAGGAGCGGCGGGCAGTACTTCGACTGGGTGCCGGTGGTGGCCTAGATCCTGGCTCTGCGGGCTCTCTATCTCCACAGGATCCCGTGGCCTTAGGGAGCAGTGTGCGGACAGGGCTCCCTGGGGAGGCGTCGGTGGCCCTGGGGGGTACCGGAGAGACCCAGGCCCGATTGTCAATTGACGCGATCGCGGCTCAGCTGTTGCGCGATCAATACTTGCTGACGGCGCTGGAGCTGCACACCGAGCTGTTAGAGAGCGGCCGCGAGCTGCCTCGGCTGCGCGACTACTTCTCCAATCCAGGCAACTTCGAGAGGCAGAGTGGGACCCCGCCCGGAATGGGGGCTCCGGGGATTCCTGGAACAGCCGGCGTTGGAGGTCGGGAACCCAGCACAACGTCAGGCGGGGGACAGCTCAGTAAGTGGACTTAGCCTGTCACACTCCCCCAGGGTTGTTGGGATTGTGAGGAGTTGTTGCGGGGGAGATGAGTATTTCTGGGCAGGTACTGAGTATAGGGACGTTTTAGGGAGCGGGGGGTGGGGCGGGTGTCTTATGGGTGGAAGCAAAAGGATCAGGCGGTAACTTGTTCGCTCTGCCGGCCTCCGACACTTGGCTGGTGTTGCAGTTATTCCTGGCTCCCTTGCTGGTGTCGGTATCTATACAATATCAAGAGTTTCGAGTTCACTGGCTATTACAGGACTCCAGAAGGCTCCCTTTTTAACTGGTTTATTGCTTTAAGTATTTTTCCTTTTTCTCCAATTACCTGAATCACCCTACCAGGAAGTAGTGTTTCTTAAATTGCCCGCAGTAATTCTTTTACTCAAAGTTAAGACAGAGAAAATAAGTTATTTACCTCATTCGTTGTATATTTAAAAGCATTTCTCATGGCTTGAAAACTTACTATCAAGAATGTGCTGTAGGATTCCCAGTATCCACCTTTTGGAAGGCATCTTAAAATTTTCACTTGCTAATTGTGAGATGTTAAGATTTTCACTTGCTAATGTGTCATGTGAGGCCAATTGGAATTTGCTAACAAATGTTAATATGGAATTTTAGAACTGTAGCCTAATGGATTCCTTTTGTCTTTATCCTTTTGAATGGTGTCAGTAACTTTAATTGCCAAACTTAGATATAGTAGAAGTTCAAAGAGTGCGTTTTCTGTAAAGTATATCTTAAGCACATTTCCCTTTTGGATATGGAATTTTCTCAGTAGGTGTAACTCCTTTACTCAATATGTAGGATAATTTTCCTTTTCAGGAAGAGATTTTCTCATTGTTGACCTTTCAGGCTGTAAAATATGACAGAGAACAGTGTAACAAGATTGTTATGCAGTTTTGTTTTTTTTTTTTAAGATTTCTAAATTATATAATGATTTTCATCTGACAAGCTCTTACTACTTTATCAAGACCCAGCTCAAATGTCATCTTTGTAAATACTTCCTACGCCCCAAGGCTTAGTTACTTGCTTAGTTCTTTCATCTGCCACTTTCAAACCTCCATCATAGCCTTTAGCTGTTTTGTATTTGATTTGTTGATAATATAATTTTTCTCCACAGTCAATTCTTTAGAGACATCTTTATATTTCTCACACCGTGCACAGTTCCTGGACTGTTGTTGAGCATAATTGAATTGTATCTGCTATGCTGATTAAAAAAAAAAAAAAAAAAAGACAGGTATTCATGTACACCTATGCTTTTCTATTATCCTCATTTATTTGGATCTGTTTTAGGTAAGGGATATATATGTGTACGCGCGCACACACATGGAAGTTATTATTTTTTTAGTGGATACAAGCAAACGAATAATAGGGGAAAGAGTCAAAATTATCCATGAGCCTGCCAATGATATTTGCTTTTCCTGTCTTTAATGTTATTTGCCTTTCCTGTCTTTTCTATGCATATATTTTCAAAATCAAAAAATAGATTAAACTATTTAACATAGTTTTACATTATTTGGCAGGCAGTATATTTTTTACCATCAACTTTGAGGTAAAATTCGCATACAATAAAATGCACCCATTTTAAGTGTACAATCGGAGTTTTGACAAATGAATTAATCACTAGCACAATTAAAAGTACAGAAAATTTTAATTATCCCCAGAATTCCTTCATTCTTCTTTGCTCTCAGTATCCCCACTCCCATCACTAGACCACTACTGATCACTATAAACAGGATTTCTCAACCTGAGCCTGGGCACTGTTGACATTCTGGGCCCAGTAATCCTTTGTTGTGGCTACTACTGTCCTGTGCGTTATAGAATGTTTAACAGTATCCCTGGTCTTTACCCACTAGATGCCAGTAGCAACCACCCTCACCCTATCCCACTCCAGTTGCGACAACCAAAAATATCTCCAGCATTGCCCAGGGAAGGGAGGACATAATTTCCCCAGCTTAGAACCACTTGTATAGATAAGTTTTGCCTGTTCTGAATTTTCATATATATGGAATTATGGAGCATATATGTTTGTGTGTCTGTCTTCTTTTGCTCAGCATGTTTTTGAAATTTATCCATGTTTTTGTGTTTATTAATAGTTCATTACATTTTGGTTTTATCCCTCCATCTCTTGTTAGGCATTTGTGTTTTTTTCAGTTTAGAGCTATTATGAATAAAGCTGCCATGAACATGCTCCTACAAAATTTGCATAGACATGTTTTCATTTCTTTTGAGAAATACCTAGGAATAGAATTGCAGGGTCATAGAGTTAGCATATGTTTAAGTTTATAAGAAACTGCCACACTGTTTTCCAAAGAGGTTGTACCATTTAAAATTCCCACCACCAATATATGAGAGTTCCACTTTCTACATATCCCCCGGCTTTTTAATTTAAGTCATTCTAGTGAGAGTATAGTGGTATTTCGTTGTGGCTTTAGTTTTCATTTTCCTAATTACTAGTGATGCTGAGCTCCTTTTCCTGTGCCTTTTGCCATTAGTGTATCTTTTCTCAAATGTTTGTTCATATCTTTTGCCTTTTTTTAAAATTAGGTTTTTTGTTTATTTTGTCTGATTATTGAGTTGCAAGAGCTCTTTATATATTGGGACCCAAGTCATTTATTAAATATGTGTTTTGCAAATATTTTCTCCTGGTCCAGTTTGCATTTTCATTTTCTTAACAGTGTGTCTTATGAGCAAAAGTTTTCAATTTCATCAAGTCCAGTGATCAATTTTTTTCTTTAATGATTCATGTTCTTTATATCCTTACATAGGATCTAAAGATATACCCCAAGGTTGCAAAGGATATACCCCAAGGTTGCAAAGGATATACCCCAAGGTTGCAAAGGATATACCCCAAGGTTGCAAAGGATATACCCCAAGGTTGCAAAGGATATACCCCAAGGTTGCAAAGGATATACCCCAAGGTTGCAAAGGATATACCCCAAGGTTGCAAAGGATATACCCCAAGGTTGCAAAGGATATACCCCAAGGTTGCAAAGGATATACCCCAAGGTTGCAAAGGATATACCCCAAGGTTGCAAAGGATATACCCCAAGGTTGCAAAGGATATACCCCAAGGTTGCAAAGGATATACCCCAAGGTTGCAAAGGATATACCCCAAGGTTGCAAAGGATATACCCCAAGGTTGCAAAGGATATACCCCAAGGTTGCAAAGGATATACCCCAAGGTTGCAAAGGATATACCCCAAGGTTGCAAAGGATATACCCCAAGGTTGCAAAGGATATACCCCAAGGTTGCAAAGGATATACCCCAAGGTTGCAAAGATTTTCTCCTGTATTTTCTTCTAGAAGTTTTATAGTTTTAGCTTTTACATTTAGGTCTATGATAGCAGGAACTGTATTTTAATGAAGGTATCATAAAAGAAAGAAAATAAATATTCCTCTTATAAATATGCAGACATTTATAACACAGACTTTAGTACAGTTTAAGTACAGATGCATTGTATATATCAAAATATCAATGCCTGTAAATGTCTTAACCTAGTCAGAAAATAGGTAAATGCTAAAATACTTACGTAAAACTGTTCTTAGTACCATGTTCTGAAGATTTTTGGCTAAGCTCCTGATCACACAAATTATATTCTCTATGCCTGGGCTACTGCCCATTTTTAAAGGTCCTCTACATTCAATTCTAGTATATTGATTGTTACTATTTAGGTTATGATTTTATAATACTTGGTAAGCACTTGTTGGTTGATTATACACACACATAGTCATGCACTGCATAATGGTGTTTCAGTCAATGACAGACCACATATGTAATGGTGGTTGGAGCAGTAGGCTAGGTGTGTAGTAGACTATACCATCTAGGTTTGTGTAAGTATACTCTGATATTCCACACAACAATGAAATCACCTACCAATACATTTCTCCAAACATAGCCCCATTGTTAAGCCAGACTAACTTCTATCTGGTAATTGTCTTGCTTTCCAATTAGATCACAAGATAAAAACTGGCAAGGACATTGATTAACAGTGAGCAGGTTGTTGGAACTTAAAGGAGTGCTGGTTCTCCTTGAAGTGTTAGAGCTCTAATCAAAATTGGACTACAGTTTCTTAGGATGAGCCCAGTTCTTTACACAGTAGAGATAGTACGTGGTCAAGTAGGGAGGGCAAGTGACTTATGCCTTTCAGTGATGGATTTCTTTTATTTGTACTTATCATGGCCTTCAAATTTTTATAAGGCAGCTAGTCAGGGAGCAGTTATTGATGATAAATGTAATGATTTCACTTGTGAGCTTGCAGCCTTCTTGAGTCATCTTTCTACTTTATAAAATCTTCTCTCTCATGATCCTATCTTTTCTCAGAACTCTTTGAGGGTACAGTTCTCATCGTGCTCAGTGTTCTTTTCTTAATCTCACCAATGCTTAGATGTCATAATTGCTTTCTTCCAGAGTTTCCGTGTCTTCCACTTTACAAAGTAGTTCCCCTCTGTAAGGCTGGGGTTGAGTTGAGTGTTTCCTCTGCTTTCTGATAGAGAAAATATCAAGAGACTTTCTAAAATTTGTTAGTTTCACTGCTTTTAGCTGAATGAGACTTTGCACTGTTGTCTTGAACATAGACATTCCTAAATATATCTATTGTATAACTATCATTTTTCTTGAATATGACTTTCCAGTTGTTTCAAAATTCTTATTAATTCCTGCGGAAATTTAGTCAGATATTTTCTTGCCTAGCACAATGACTTGAATATAATTGGTAGTCAATATTTTTACATTTACGTATCTATTAAACAGTGTGATCAGTTGAAGATTATAGGGATCCAAAAGTTTAATGCAGGGAGAGCAGGGGTTAGTGAGAAATTGATAAAGGGCCACAAAAAATGATTACATTGTATAACAATAAATATAGTAATTATCCTGACTTGATCACATATTGCACACAGGTATTGATATTCAACACTGTATCCCACAGATATGTACAATCAATTATGTTTCCATTAAAAATAAATAAATTTTTTTAATA